GATTGAAGGAGAGATGTGTTGAACAACTACAGGCACTGAGAAAGGGCTCAGCCAAGGTATTGCCATATTCCTGGGCACTGCTCATGAGCTCCAGGCACTTTCTACAGAGGTGGGCTGCAAGGTGCAGCAGGCAAGTAGCAATTCTGTGCCCACAAAATCTCCAACACAGGAATAAGTATCAGTCCTGCACTCATATGCAGCACAAACAGCAATGGCTTCATTTTAGCCTTCCTCTCTCAAGTCCTATGTACCTTCAGGTATTCAGCTTGTAAGAAGCTGCTTGTGTGCAACTACAAAACTTTTTCTGTTAATAGGATCTCAAAGAGAAATTCTGGAGGCAGCAAACACTTCCCTTCAACCTTCTCCATGTACCATTACTGCAAAACCAAGAGCCACAAGGGATAGCAAGACTCCTACAACCAGAAACAGATGGATTTCTTTGCTTTTAAGGAACTGCTCTGGTGATTGTGGAGAACATGCCTGTAGCACTCTGTGTTCAGGAAAGCTTGTGCTTGGGGGAATATCCAAATCTCTGGCAAGCACATTAGCCAAAAGCAGGCTTGCTATGCAAAACACACAGCTTTCCACCTTCTTGGTGTAAGAAAAGAAAACCTAAAAACCCCTCTCAGAGTACTGACTTCTACTTCCTTGGAGTATCATTTCATCATTCTCCACCTCCACTGCTGAAATCTGTCAAGTGAGGCAGCCAGGCTGGTTAGCTCAAACATGAGGTCAGATTGGGAAATGGGGTTATACTGGAACTCTCCAGGATGACCTGGTGAAAAGTGAGGCCAAGAGCAAAGCTGGTCCCTTATAAAGCTCTATAAGAAGTAAGATGCTTGGGATACACAGGGCTCCCAGCCCACAGACAGGAAGATAATAAGGAAAGACTGCACCTAACACAGGGACTGGCCTCTCAAGGGCCACAGGCTATGCCAGCCTCCTTTTCCAAACACATTTCTCTGGCATTCCTACCAGCAATCCCAGGAGATGCTGCTTCTCTCGTGGCGTAGAGACTCCAAACCCAGCACTGCTGCTCCATGTTCAGTTGCCCAGTTACCAAAATCAGTGAGCACAACAGAAGCTCTTCTATTCTTCAATGCTGTAAAAACAAGATGACTTTGTTTTAAAGCAAACTGCACCTGGGATCAGCAAGTGAAGGTGGTTATCTGTCAGCCCTTTTTTATCTCCAACAGTCCATTTAATTGCACATCCACTTAACTACATCCTTGTTACATCCTGGACATATAAAAGGCAGATTTGCCTGGTTTGGATTTTTTTTTTGTTTTGTTCATAAACAAACTTCATTGCTATTAGATCTTAAACTGTGTGTGTTGTGGGTGTAAGCTGCCATTTGAACTGTGCCATAAATTTATCTGTGGGCACGTTCTCCAGGTGGCTGTGTGTCAAATCTTGTTGACTTGCCTGTGCCCTGTGTGCTTTCCATTTTCCCATGTCTCTGGGTTATGGAACAGAACATCACAAGATGTATTTTAAGAACAGAGCTGTTCTACAGATTGATCCAGCCTTTGCTGCAGGGTAAACTTGTCTTTCAGTGATGGCTACACAGTACCATAACCAGTACTTGACTGGAAGCCAGTGGAATAAAGAGCTGCTAAAGAAGCTGAGGGTGTTTGGACCTGTTCACAGTATTACTTGATAAAAGAACTGAGTGAGTTGTAAGTGGGAGAGAAAAAGAATGACATTGCCTCCAGCATGTGACTGCTCAATGGTCATGCCTGTGGGCTAGCAAAGGCTTAGCTTGGCAAGCTTAGTTTCTTGTTCTCCTCTCCCTGTTCAGCAGTCATCTCCAGAAGCCAAAGCTTTCAGGCTGGGAATCTGGGGAGGAAGAAATTACAAGAGCAAACTCTGCACAACTATTTGTCTTGCTTTCACCAAATAAAACCCATAGCCCAAAAAATCCCAAGCTTCCCATATTTCCACATTCACTTGTCGTTTTCCAGCTAGTCCCTTCCCTTCTGCACCAAACTTTCCCTCAAAAACACTGAACAAGCACCCAGAGACAACAGCATTTGTTGAGGCAAAGCCCCCATATCTTCCACTGTGGCACTTTCAAGAATACCCACAGTTTTGTCATGGAGCAAAGCCCCAGAAAACTGTGCCAGGAGCAGAGGAATGGCTTAGAGAGCCAACTTGCCTGCGTTCTCCAAGGGCTAAAATGTCCCAGGAGGGAAAGAGACAATGGATTTGATGGTGGAACACTTGAAAGCAGCTCCTCAGTGTCCACACAGCAAAGCAAAACTTGTTGGGTTTTCATTAGTGCTGATTTGTGGGCTTGGCATCCAGCCCCACCCAGCTAATGCCCTCGTAAAAAACCTGCTTTGAATCTGTGTTGTGACAGCAGATGACATGGGTCCAACCTAGAATATTTCTCCCTCTCCCACACAGTAATGGGACCATGGGCAGGCTCCTCCAGCCAGCTCCTACACACCATGGAATGTCCTTGCCTGGAGCAATCACTGGGAGATGGAGTGTAAGTGCTCTTAATTTGACCATATTACAGCCTCTGGTTGCTGGAACTTGTTTTAGTTCTTTCTGTAAACACAGTGAGGACTCAGCTTTTGAGCTGTTCCCCATGGCCACAGCTCTGGGTGATAATTAACCTCCCTCTACAGAGGGGAGCAGACCAAGTCTGTCACCACACAGCCTTTCTGCTTCTTGAGCTCTTCGCCATTCACCTCACCCTGCTTAAGCTGCAACCCTGAAATGCTCTGGTCTCAGCATTCCTTCCTCATACACACAACACTGAGAAGACTAATGAGCCACCTCGTTTGAGAGAATTTTAAAAGCCACAGAAAAATATGCTCCCAGCAACAATGGCTGGAAACATCAGCTGGAGTTACACAGGCTGGAAAGAACCAGGGATCCTTTATCCAAATGCCTCCCTCAGCAGCCTTTTGTCTGTGCCATCCCAGCAGGAAGCTTAGCACAGCACCCCAGAGCTGCCAGACAGACAGACAAACTGACACTACTTCAGGGCTGAGATGGGCTGTGAAGTTTTTCCCCCCACCCCCTTTAAAATCTATTTGATGGAAAGGAAGAAAGCATTCTGTTCCCTGACCAGGAATCTCTCAGACCTGGTCCCCCAAGGAGCAGGGCAGCACTGCAGATGGGTGAGGAGGTAATTTATTAGACTCATGGCTAGTTGCCCTCCCATCAGAAAAGCAGCCTCTACAGCTCCTCTCCCTGACAGCTGCCAGGAGTAGGAGCATTCCAGCACTCTTCACTGCTGCAGAGAAAGAAACACAAGAATCACAGAGCCCAAATTCCTCTCCGTACCCCCGGCAAAAAATGCAGGCGTGTTATCTCAGCACGTCACATCTGGCAGCAAAATTCAGTCCCTGCACAGATATAAATTACATCTGTATGTGGGTCTACTACTTTCAGAGCCATAAGTGAAATATTTCTTGGTAAAGGTCTTTCCCATTTTCTTCGCACTGATTTAACATCAGAAACCATCCCCCTTGACATCTCTGGCAGGACAAATGTACCATTTGGCATCCTTTGGGGTGAAAAGTGCTACAAGGAATGCAAGATGTAAGCCTGCTTCTTGAGTGGTATAAATCATCCTGTCCCTGTCTTACACTTGGAAAACGTGGCCTCACAGTGCCTTTCTCTCTGTTCCTGACTGACAGGAGCATCAGAGAAGCACAGTCACATTTTTAGCTGCAAGAGTAGGACAGTTACAGGGTTCTGTGAGGAGCAAGGTGGATTTACTGCTGGAAATCTGATGCTTCTTTTCCCTTCTCTCTCTTTTGTCTATTGTCTTCTATGTACCAGTTCTTCTGCTTTATTTAGACACATACAGGGTGCTACTTATCTCCATCCTCCTCCCATTAACTTGACAGAGACATTTGCCAGTCACAGAGAGAAGGTAATTCTTTGCCACATCAGCTGCACAACACCCATCAACAGGGAAATCCCCAGGCAAAGTAACTGCTGGGCAGGAGAGCAGCACTGTGCCTTCGCACTGGAAATAGAGATCCTTGTGCTCAGGAAGGGCGTTACATTCTCTCCTGATTCCCTGGAAACTGCTTGGCATCTCTTCAGTCTGGGTTTGTCTCACAGGCCTTGGATTTCCAGGATGCACAGTCTCAGCCAGAGCCAAGAGGATCAGCCAGCCTGTTCCTAATAGTTCTGCACGATGACACTCGTCATCTCCTCCCAGAGCTGCACTTCCTGAAGATGTGCCATGGAGAAGTCAGGCAGGACATACACCCAGCGTGTTTGTTGCTAACTCTGCAGCTTGTTCCTCACGCTTTGTGTCCCCACCTTTACTTATCAAATGACAATGATCAGGCCTACAACAGGAACAGTCTAAGCTGTGCTGTTTACATACAATGTCAAATTCGAGGGGTGTCCAGCCCTTGTGTTAATCTCTGTTATTCTGCTATTACAGCTCTCTCTGTAGTGGGCATTTGGCACTGAGACATTATCCATTCATTTAGAATGAGTTACACTGCAGGGCCACAGCAACAAAGGCTGGAAAAGTCACCCTGCAAGGTCACCTCGTGCAGTTCCAAGCTTCAGTGGTATCTGAACAAACCCTGTGACTGCAAACAGATGTTAGTTGGGTCCTGTCTACCTTTCAGTGCCTTTAATGTTTCCCTCCCTCTCTCTAAACAATCTACACCACTGCATCACAGTTCACTGACCCCCATTTGCTTCACTCCACCTTGCAGCTTGCTCAATGTCCAAATTCATATTTACCCCTTAATATTGTAACCATAAGTAAACACAAGCTCAGACAACTAAAATAACACATTAAATGCACGAAACGATAATCAAGAGCAAGAGGACACATTGCTCTTTATTAAAATAAGAACTGTGGAAAGTTATTCTTCTGGTTGTTTAATATCAGAATAATGTGTGCTATTCTGTGAAACCATATGGTAAAGGGTTCTCAGAATCCAAGAGAAATAAGAAGCCCTCGGGTTTATAAACCTTTTGTAATTTACCCTAAAGCACTTGCAAATTACCTTACTGTGGGTCCTTCAGGGGATGCTGACAGGCAGTCCTGGCTGACAGGAGCATGAGGAGCCCTGCTACAGCATCGCACACTTTTCCAGACAGAAGGCCTCTGAAATAAATAGAAAGGAGACAATGCAGCAAAAGGCAGTTAATCACATCAGAATTTAACCAGGATGGTGCCAGCAGTCCTGCTTTTGCCTAGAACTCCAAGGATATCTTTTTTGCTTTCAGCTTTATCTCTCTTTGCTTTCAGCTTTATCTACACACTGGTGGCTCCACCACAACATCCTCAGAGCCCTGATGGCTGAAGCCACCACGCTCCAGCAGCTCACAAGTCAAAGGTGGGCTATTTGTTTTGCCACTGCCAAAGTACTTCACTGTTGGTCAGGAGGTAGATCAATTAAAACCATTTTGATACCTCAAGTGCCCCACGAACACATTAAAATAACTACACTTTTTCATGGATGGAAGTTCATATGTTCCCTAAAATACAATTTGACTTGAGAATTAGCTTTTTCTCCTATCTACAAAATGCGCATTGCCTCAAGATAAATAGGTGGCATTTTATTTGCGTAATTTTATGTGGTTTGCTGTCTAATCCATCCAGGAAAAACATTTCCTGTCTTGTCATGTGGTTCATTAATCTTTAGGTTTTCTGCTATCCTGTAAAACATTTTATTGTCTAGGGATTGCAGCTAAATTGCAAGTCAGCTTCTCGAGGCCACTCCTTGAGGTGTAAAACACTGTATTCTCCCAGCCTCACACTTCTCTTAATATCAGCATTTGGCAAGGTCTGGCCTTAAAACTTCAAGTAAACCAGAGGCCTGCAATTCCATTTATGCGTAAATAATCAGTGCATGCTTCACTAAAAAGGACTGGGTGGTCACCAACACTACCAGGGTTTTCCTGCAGGCCAAACTGAGACGCATTCATGCCTGCAAGCACCAGTTTTATTAACCTGGTTTGGCTCAAAGCAGAGTCCTGGCGATCGAATTTTGTTTCAACACTGCAACTGGCAAGTGGAATTCACGCATGGAGAAGAGATGAGTAGAGCTGTCAAACAACAGATCACCCTTACACCATCCCTTCCTATGTGCACCTAAAGACAACTGTCAGCTAAGTGACCTGAGAAGCACCCAGCCAGCTCTTTCTCTAAAACTAGGTCCACATGGCTCTTTTTGTTGTAGTTTGTGCTCACAAAGAAGGAAAAAAAAACTCCTGTCCTCCGGTAGATTTGTTTAGAGAAGGAAAGGTTTGTACAAGGGGGTCTTGGATAACACTATGTGCTGTTAACCCCTAGGTTGCCAGGACAGAACCCTGCCATTACCATCACAACATGCTCTCCCACCTTAGGACAACGTGGTGAATCAGTCCTGGGCTCCCAGATCCCACCCAACCCCAAGGGTCTGCATCCCTGTGCCCCCACAGACTGAGCCAGTCACTACAAGTGCAGAGGGCAGGATAAAGCCCACCATATTTTCATACCATCAGCAAGAGAGCTTCTGCCTCATCTCTTGTTGCAGAAAGGTGAGCAGGGACATCAACCCCCATCATCACAGGCTTGTCAGTATAAATACTACCAAACTGCCACACAGAGTGCAGATCACTGATGGGTGCAGTATATCCATGTACAAACAAGGATAATCCACCCTTTAGTAAGAAACCATTTACCACAAAAGGCCATAGGAGGAGCTGACTGTCTGGCAAAGACAGACTTTTGTCATGAAGGAGCCTGGGAACGGATGAGCCAAGGCAGCACTTCTGCTGGGCACCAGGATAGAGGTACTGGATGCAGGTCCATCATCTTCTCTGCCTGTGCACTCAAATGTTTTAAGAACAGGCTGCTCCAGTGTGTGTCCCCTACAGGGTCACAGATCCTACCAGGAAACCTGTTCCAGTGTGGGCTCCTCTCTCCACAGGTCTGCAGGTCCCTGCCAGGACTCTGCTCCAGCATGGGCTTCCCATGGATCACAGCCTCCTTCGGGCATCTGCCTGCTCCAGTGGGGATCTCCTCCACGGGCTGCAAGTGGATCTCTGCACTCCCACTGCCCTCCATGGGCTGCAGGGGCACAGCTGCCTCACCATGGTCTTCACCACAGGCTGCAAGGGAATTTCCACTCCAGTGCCTGGAGCACCTCTTCCCTTTCTACTCCACTCACCTTGGTATCTGCAGAGCTGTTCCTCTCACACTGTCACTCCTCTCTTCTCTGCCTGCAAGTACACCGGTGCAATAACTTTTTTCCTTCTTAAACATGTTATCCCAGAGGTGTCACTGCCATCACTGACTGGTTCAGCCGTGGCCAGTGGTGTGTCTGTCCTGGAGCTGGCTGGCCTTGGCTCTGCCAGACATGGGGGAAGCTTCCAGCATCTCCTCACAGAAGTTATCCTTGTAGACCCCCCCCCGCTACCAAAACCCGGCCACATAAACTCAATACAACCCATAAGGATCATCAAGTCCAATTCCTGGCCCTGCATAGGAACAACTTCAAAAATCCCACTATGTGCCTGGAATCTTTGTCCAAATGCTACTTGAACTCTGGCAGGGTTGGGGTCGTGACCACTTCCCTGAGGAGCCTGTTTCCCACCTCAGCTGTGCTGACAGCAGTTTCTAAAAAGCAAGGCAAAGGAGGTGTGTAGGACAGAGTGCAATTTCCTCAGGACATTTTAGGGAACCACCTCATCAACCCACTCACAGCACTGCCAATTTAACAGTGTGACTGTAGGGCTGTTGAATCTGTTGTGGTCTACACACAAAATGAGGCCCAGTGCTCTTGGCTGTTCATGGGCAGCTTGAAAATAGCTGGAAGATAAACTTCCCCCCTAAAAACAAGTTTTCAGAATGCCTCTGCTCCTATCTCAAGGTCACTGGGTTCACACACAGTGGTACTCCCCTTCTTCACTAAGGTCATACAGCTCTATCCTGCCACAAGGACAGCGGATGAGACACAGGAATCCTTCACTGCAGGACAGGAACACAGCCCACAGAGGAGAAAGAACTGGCAAACTCAACCTAAAATTTTCGTGTGGTGCTGCCTGAAATAGAAGTCTTCTTGCTCATGCCAAAAGTCAAACTTCACCACTACAAAGTTGACTTAAGCGTGTGGGTGTGAAAACTTCAGCACAGCCTGAACAGAGAAAAGCTGAGGTTTCTATTTTCTCCATCCGGTTTCTGCTGGTCTTTCTACTGCTGCTGTGCAGGTAACACCCTGTGTAACTCATCCTTTGGCTTCACATCACGTTGGAAAAACAAACAGAACAAAGCGTGGAAGTGGAACAGACAATATCTATTCAGACCCATCAGAACTGAAGTGCATAAGCACATAGACAGATCTTTTAACAAAAAGCCAAAACAAACAGAAAGTTCAGAAATCAACAGGTGTGAGTCTCCCTCCCAGCCATTCTGACCATATCTTGGAAGTATCCAGAATCTATAACTCTTCCCTTTTGTAAAAGACATAGCTCTAACTTTTAGTAAAGTGTCAGATGCTGGGACAAGCCTAAGCATTCATTCCAGCTCTTTGCAAATCTGTTTCCCCAGGCAGTCTGGTTTATCCACCCAGTCACTTCACAAAGTCCCTCTTCACTCACAGTCATCTCCTTTGCCTCCTGGGCTATACTGTTTCTCCTCCAAAGTTAAACAGCTGGGTTTTTCAGTGGTCCTTGCTGACATGAAAGGACACATTCCACATAAACAGTGACAGCTAAAGGGAATTCAGGGTGACAGGAGGGATTAAAAAGATCCTGTGCCTCAACTGGGACCTGAGTCCAAACAGGTTACAATAAGATAAGAAATTAAGGCATGAATCTGATGCTGCTACTCACCTGAAGTCAGAACTTGCTTCACTATGAAGCACTGGCATCCTCAGAGAGGATATCTCACTATACAGTGCTCTGAGCTGAACCAGCAAGGTCACACAGGGGGGTTCTACCTGTACCCCAGGCACTAGCAGTGCTTGTCAGAAGCAGCTACTGCCAGCAGAGTGCAGCTTTCTCCTCTGCTACCAGAATTTGGGGGATCTGGAAACGGAAAGAAGATGACACCAGTCCTCTGATGCTGGAAGGCACTACAGAGTCAAAGTGTCACCTTTCAGAAGAGTTACTGAACCAATAAGACCATCTTCACTTACTACAAACTAACCACTTCCAACACTCCTTTCCCACCCTCCCATTTCCTCAAAACCAGCATCCTGAGTTAATTTCTGCTTCCATCAATTATCAGTAGCAAAATTAGAACAAACTGAGTCACAGGTAGTATTATAAACTGATTTCAGAATTTTACTTCCAGCACGCAGGGTACTGGCTTCCTCTCTGACAGAAAGGCTATAACAGTGTTGACAAGGAAGACAAATGACAGAGGCAACAATCCAAGACATCATCTCCTTTGTAAGGACTGCAGTTATATCTTTATGAGTTATAAAACAAGGCAATAAAATTCAAGACCATTAGAACAATGTCACACACATTACAGTAGGAAATACCTCCACAGAGCCAACAAATACTCATCCTACAGGTGAAAAAGAGCTCAATTGTTGGGGGCTGGGGGATCAAGGGAAGTTTTAAGAAATGTTAAAAAAAAGTCCTGGTCCTGATCGGGAGGATTTGCTCAGAAAAATCCGAGTCATTAGCTAAGTTTAGCCAGTCTCAGGAATGCTGGAGAACAGGTGGATCACAACATACAGGATTCGTGAGAGATTTGTGAAGGAGAAAAGGACAGCACATCCTTAATCCTCCCTAAAGCAAACAGCACCCGAAATGTTCCCTCGGAGGTTTGCGGGCCCTCTCTGCTGTTTGTACAAAACAACAGCACCCTCCAGAGGATAAACAGTGCTCGCTCTGCCGCTCCCACACCTCACCTTTTACGAACATGCAGTGTATGAGCTTTTTTCCAGCTGTGAGCGCTGTAGGCCTGTGTTTAGGTTAGCCTTGGGTAAGAAAACACGAGCCATTTTAGAAGAGCAGTAACAAAGAGCTCCAAAAAGAACCCTGCTTCCTACTGCCAGGCAGCACTATCTCTCTCCAAAGTGTCAGTGTTCCTTGCACCAGGGCTGCAATCTCTTTACAGTTACAGAGAAGGAAAAATCGACCCCACTGGAGGTGACTCATCACACCTCACCTTTTGGATTTTACCTCGGGGAACAACTGGTTGAACTCACTGGTGGGGCAATGAGTCCACATGACCCACACAGAGGAGGCTCCCAGCCCCCCCTGCCACGCTTGGCCCAGTCACACTGCCAGTTCTGGAGATGTGTTTGAGTCTGCTTGTGATTCCCCAGAACGATGTCAGTTGGCTCTTTCATCTCTTTCTACAGCAGCACCCCCAACAACTTGGTTCAACACCTGAAAAATGTCTCAATCCCCACAGCAGGTTTGGCACCAGCCTCTGAGGGAAAACAAAATCAATTATCCGCTTTCTCTGAGACAAATTAACAGGAAACAAACTATGCAATATCTCATCTTAATTAGTGTATTGTTCCCGGAGCAATTTAGCAGTTGACAAATGCAAACAGTACACACACCATTCCCAAAAGCTGAGCAGACCGTGACTCACTCATTACAGCACAAACCTCAGTGACTGCATTCCAAACCTACTTTGGGAATTAAGAAAGTATTTCAGACAGGAGAATTTCCCCTTTAGGGGAAAAAAAAAAAGTATCTCTCACAGCTATTCCAGAGGTGCTGGCTGGGATCCAGTAACTGGATACATTTGAACAGTAGCTCTATTCAAAGTTTAAAAACACCCCAAACAAACCACAGGGACTTCCATGTTTTGCTCCGTTCCTGTCCCAGCACAAAGTGAGTTTCAAATCCACGGCACTGGCACTCCATCCCCATCTATCTTTAGGAATTCTTACCATCCAGTGTTCCTTCCATAACTCATAATCTGAGCTGCTTCACTTGACATTTAGAAGAGGCTCACAAGAAGGATGACATTCCTGAGCTTTAGTCATATTATGAAAAAAGAATACAAAAAAACCCCCAAATACCACTCAGTTGCCACAGCCAGAAGGTAGAAGACACTGCTGTACATTTTCCAACACATCTGAGGTTATGTTGGTCAGACAGAGAAATGCAGGTAGAAAAGGCTTCAGTAACAAGGGGGTTGTTTTTTATACAGTCCTTATGTTATATCAAAATGTGATTCACCAATAAAAATGGCAGTAAAGGTGAAGCTGCTTTCTTAAAACAGGAGCTGCTTGTGCCCCTCACTCACTACCCAAATTCCCTATAGGCACCAGATACCACAAGTTTCAGAACTACTTATTTCACCACCTAGAGAAAACTATATTCTCTAAAATGGGTTGTTATCTATATGATTTTTAAACTTTGTTCCCACCATTCTTAGGGGAATAAATCCTGACTATTATAAATTAATTCCCTGCCTGGAAACAGTGACTAAGAGACATGAGGGACTGCAGGGCTGAGGCAGGAATGAGTGAGATGCTTTTCAGTGTTATAACTCCAAAGGTGATCTGGAAACTCCTGCTTGTTCTCCTCTGGAGGGTATTAAATGAGGACTTTTGCCTTTGATTCATTCTGAGAAATACCCCTGAGGAATTTATTAAAAAATATTTGACATAGTTTGCAAAAAATCCCAGAACTCCCCTGCACAGCACAGGAGGCAACATAAGATGGAAAATAAACTTGTAGGTGCAAAAAGATTTAATAAAGAACAGTACATAGATTTAATAAAGAACTTACACCATCAGTGCACAGGCAGGTGGAGGTGGATGTTTGTCTTCCTGTCGAATTGTCTGTCCCTGGGATGAGTTTTCCCACTTTTTGTAAACATAACTGATGTCGTCAGATAACTTCTGATAACCTCCAGGACAGAGGATGCTGGATTGAAGAAAAGGATTTACCCAAATAAAGGAAGATTATTATCACCCGAGTAAAACAAGCACTGGGCAAGATTACATCACCCAAATAAATATGCACTAGGTAGGTGGGGAATATATGTTAGATAGGTGGGGGGGTTTTATAAGGTGAATTTTACCGTATAAAAGAGGTAACTTTTTACCCTTTGGTGTGTTTCCTTCGTGGAAACCTCCACCTCGCACCCTGTGAAAAATAAACAGAATAAACAATGTGCCCTTCAAGTCGAATTATCAATCCCCAGACTGACTTTTTTCACCTTTTGTAAACAAAATTGAAGTTGCCGGATAACTTCTGGTAACTTCTACAACAGAAGCTGCTGAATGAAGAAAAGAGCTTTGTGTTTCAGGTAAGATCACATCGCCCAAGCAAATATGTATTAGGCGGGCGGGCTCGTGTGAACTTTACTGCATAAAAGAGGTGAGTTTTCACCCCTTGGGCTGCCTGATTTGTGGAGGCGCAATGAGCGGGATGAACAGTGCGTCCTTTCCCAAACTAGGATGTGCGTCTGTGTTTAGCGAGCTCCTAAATTCGGGTGCCTCCAGAGCCCTCACAGAGCCCACACGACGCCCCCCGAGCCGCCGCCATCGCTGTGAGGGCGGGAGCGGCCCCGCCCCCGACATGGCGGGTTAGGGAGGGCGGGCGAGGACAACCCGGCCCTGCCGCACGGCGGCCCGGCGGGGACATGTGTGTGCTCTGGCGATCGTCCCTGCCTGCCGTGGCAACGGGGTGTAGCAGCCACGGGGACTCCCCCAGTGCCACCATCCCCTCATGAGGACACACTCCAATGCCGCCGTCCCCTCGTGGGGACCCCCCCAGTGCTGCCATCCCCTTATGAGGACCCTCCAGTGCTGCCGTCCCCTCATGGGGATCCCCCAGTGCCACCATCCCCTCGTGGGATCCCCCCGTAACATTATTCCCTCGTGGGAACCCCCCAGTGCCGCCACCCCCTCGTGGGGACCCTCCAGTGCCTCCATCCCCTCATGGGATCCCCCAGTAACATTATTCCCTCATGGGAACCCCCCAGTGCCACCGACCCCTCATGAGGACCCTCAGTGCCACTGTTCCCTTCTAGGGACTCCCCAGTGCCACCAGTCCCTCATGGGATCCCCCAGTGCCTCCATCCCCTCATGGGATCCCCCAATGCCACCTTTCCCTTGTAGGGACTCCCCAGTGCCACCAACCCCTCATAGGGACTCCCCAGTGCCACCATCCCCTCGTGGAGACACCCCCAGTGCCTCCATCCCCTCATGGGATCCCTCAGTGCCACCGTTCCCTCATACGGACTCCCCAGTGCCACCAACCCCTCATAGGAAGTCCCTACTGCCACCACACCCTCGTGGAGACACCCGCAGCGCTGCCATCCCCTCACGGGATGCCCCAGTGCCACCATCCCTTTATGGGGACCCCCCAGTGCAGCCATCCCCTCGTGGGACCCCCCAGTAACACTGTTCCCTCATGGGGACTCCCCAGTGCTGCTGTCTCCTCACAGGACCCCCAGTGCTGCCATCCCCTCTGAGGACCCCCCAGTGCCACTGTTGCCTTATGGAGACCCCTGAGTGCCTCCATCCCCTTGTGGAGACCCCCCAGTGCCACCATCCCCTCATGGAGGGAGGCTGGAACTGGACGGTCTCTAAGGTCCCTCCAACCCAAACCATCTGTAATTCTATGACTCTGTGATTGCTGAAAGGACAATACCCACAGGGGAAGATTCTGCTGCAGCAGCTGGTGAAATTTCCTGTATAAAGGGGAGACCCTGCCAGAGCAACTGGTGACATTTCCTGTATAAATATTGATGAGCCCAGCGGGTAAAGGAGCTCAGAAGATGCCCAACCAAATACGCCGGGATGTACCCCATGGCTGCAGGTCCCTCCGGTCCCTCCCCACCGTCCTCACAGTCTCACACGGACGTGTCCAGCAGGCTCCTCTTTATTACAGCCTTGCCAATGCACATAAAGAAAATGTACCATACAAACCCCATGGGCTTCACATCTAGAAACCCTTTTGTTTCATGTCTTATGCAGAGGCTTTTTTATTTCTCTTAATGTCTTTCTTAAATTCAAGCTAGTAAATAACAGAGCTTCACCACTGTCCTGTCATCAACAGCATCTAAACATTTTGGTGACACTGCTCAGAACTGGTATGGGCAGGACAGGCTGAATTCCAGCCTTGAATTCTGCCTTAAGCAGCGTTATCACTGCTGGCATAATGTGAAACTGAGGAGTTTGAGGAATTATTTTTTTTTTTAATCCCCAGAAATGTTCCTATTCAGAGAAGACACAAACATAACATAAGCAATACAAAAATATTTTGGAAATAAACTGTACAGTCTACAAGACAGAGACTGAAAATCAACTAAACCTTAACTCTCCTTTCGTTGCTTTCACAAAGAGCTTTGGAAAAGATCCTACTTTCAGTTTTGGACCAGGGAAAAGTCCCATATAAAAACGTTCTACATTTCTCCCTTTGCACAGCTTGACAAAGGAAATCATGTCCTAGGGGCACAGCAAGCCAGCGTGATGTTTCATATCATGGGACTGCTTTTCCCACTTAATTCATTCATGTTGGATAAGAAGAGGTAATTTTCAGACATTAAATTTAGATTAAGTCATGACTGGTAGGAAAACCACTTGATCTCATTATAAATATGCCTTGACCTAAGTGAAACAATTAGAGGATAAAATAATTCTTAAAAGTCTAATAGTCTGTTTTTATAGAGTATGCTGTAGTGGGAGATAGTGAACAGATGATGAGATATTAGGTTTCTCAGACTCAAAAGGATTACACAAAATAAAGCAAACCTAATCTTTTAAGAGATCATTCCCTAAAACTGGGTCAAAAAATGTTGCCTTCCTTTGTCAGCAGTTATTAAAACTGAGAAAATCCTTCCTGATAAGAAAGTATTTAACAGGATTTCATAGGAGAGATAAGTACACCAGAAGACATTTAGCTATAATTAGGAATGCTCATTGATTTACTCTATTCAAACCACCAAGTGTTGGTCAAGACTTGAAAATACTTGATAAATTCACAGAGATTTTCTAAGTATGTAGTTTCCCACACAATTTTATGTTAGAAGAGCAGTATCTGAGGTGGACACAATCATCCTTTATTAAAGTCAGCCACCTCTCTGTGCTCCTTTTACCAGTGCCAGGAGGAGAAGAGATGTTTGTGTTTCCAGGTTGAAGTTTGCTTCTGCTTCCTCGGGCGTGAAGATGAGCTCAGGGAGGTCAGATGGAACCGGCTTGGATTTGTTTCAAAAAGCCAGCGTGAAGGAGGATGAAGGGTTCCTTCCCAGGAGATGAGAACAGCAACACACCCCTAATCAGAGCACTAATGCCTTGCCTTTGGCTATTTGCTTTCTAACTGGAGGATTGGAAGCCTCTCTGCCAAGAGAGATTGTGCAGTTTCCATCTTTGGAGGTTTTCAAGACCCAACAGCATAAACTCCTGAGTAACTCGCCTTGGTCTCATAACTGATGTTGCTTTGAGCAGGAGGCTGGACTACAGACCTCCTTAGAACCCTTCCAACCTCAGGTATTTTGTGGTTCGACTATTTTCATCCATTTTACCTCTAACATCTTTGGCTTTCCTCGGATATCAAACTGATATCTGAAACTAGGCTTGAAAGTTCATTTGCATAAAGCATGGCCAGAAAAAAGTTGTTTAACTGCTTTATATGACTGCTTTAAAGAGTTTAACTGCTTTATATGACTGAGACATGTGACCCAGCCAGAAAAAGGTAAGAAATCTCTGTACGAGATGAAAATAATGTGAGAGCTCTTTAAAAAAAAAAAAAAAAAAAAAAGAGAGGTAAAAAAGGTGAGGAATTACAAGTCCTTTGAAATACATATCACCAGCCTGTATGTGTTTGCAAAACAAACTGGAACTGCAAAATAACTAACGAGACACGTTTAAAGCACTACAGCCTCCAGCGTCCTGCATAATAAGGGCCAAAATAGCTTTTGGGCACATCCTCCCCTGGCTTGCAAGGTTATATATCGTACAGTCTAAGCTGCTCCTTCAGACATCTCTCCAAACGTGTCACTTTTTTCCTTCATCAGTGTGAAGATGGCAGCCAGCTGCTCTCTCTGAACCCTGTCAAGAAGAAAAGGAGAAGTAGGAATAGCCGGTCCCCAGAAGGCACTTGGAGCAAGAACACGATGGTCAAATGAAACACGGAGCCAAACGCAGGTCACTGTACAAGCCTTACTGGCTGCAGGAAATCTGCCCATGTGAGATAAGACAGAGAGAGCCTCTGGTTCTCCTTCCTCCCCTTTCCCATCTGCCCCATCATCCTACACGTCTCTCTGCACTTCTTTCAATATGGAGATAAACCAGACTGCTTTAACACTAGCTTTGGAGTTCCTTAAGGCTTATCTATGCTCACAGTTTCAAGATAACTTGAAACTCTGTTTCTCAAGATAACTTGACATGTGGAATTTCATAAGACCAGCATGTCCCAATTTAGCAGACTCCACAATGAACCTGGATTAAGATTCAACAGCAGTGTCCTTTTATTCTGTAATGAGAGTATGTAGATACAGAGTAATTCAGGAATAGCTATTAAATTCGAAATGCATATCCCACCTTAAAACTAGAGACCAGACTACCTCTCAGTGTGGACATGACTTTAATCAACCAGTGGAAAATAAGATCACAGATAGGAATTTGCTTTGATTCGAGTTTGTCTGCCAGTGGGAAATGGTGAGATGGACCCAGGCAGCCAGTCCAGCAATGAGGTGACCCCAGTGTGGGCAGAGGCTGACCAGTGGACCACCCATATTTCCTTAGTAGATGATTAGACCCGTTTCCCCATAGCAGAGAATATCTTGATTTTTCCCTACCCTGAAGCAGTTAAGCATTTTACACAAAGATTGATATCTGTGACAGGGCTTTATTTGTGGAAGCTTTATAGGAGGGCTTATACTGGTCATACACCTACTTGTCATCATTCAGGGATATAGGAGAGTGGGCAGCACAGGAGTGTCATTTGCTCACAAGTAGCTCATGAACTGATGTAACTGTCTACAAAATCCTCTTTTGGGTTAAAATGATTGTGCACATGGCTCCAGGCAGGGCTGGCTGTGGACTGGTACGTTCCCACTGCTGGACTCCTACCTGACTGAGGTCACATTGCTGTATTGCCCAACACATCTTGTACCTGACTCTCCTGTGTGAGATTAAAAGAACTAATGAGGTTGTGATGCTTTACAGCTGTAACAAGGGAGAAGCTTTCTATTACATTCTATTACTTCAAGGCTCATTTTGCCTCTGCATGAGCGTGGGACCAGAATTCAGTGGCACCTTAGAGCACAGATCTGCCACAATCCCAGCTCCTCCTGCTTGTTTAGCATCTTTAGACCTCCCGTGGGCTAGAAAGACAAAATCTGGCATTTGCTTCCACGTGGTCATCCTTTCAAGAGTCCTCCTTCCTGCCACAGCCAGCTTCCCACATCGGGCTTTAAACCATTTAATTAATCCATTTAAATACACGCCACTAGATAACCTGGGGTAGTCTTCCTGCAAGGCCAGTGTGGAGAAGCTATCAGCTGTTCCAGTAACAGGAGAGGTAGTAATAACTATTGACAGGCAAACCCAGGACAGAGTCTTTGCTTGGAAGGAAGGACAGCATCAACCCACGAGCAGCAACCACCCCATGAACAAGATCAGTGGAAGGAGACAGGAGTGAGTAGAGGAACCTTTTTCATGTGCTGAACTCCTGCTCTGTGTTTTTCCCTCTCCTGGGCTAAGCCCCAGCAGAAGCAGAAACACAACAGCCTGTCCTCTCAGCGCTGCTGAAGCAAACAGGGCAGGAAAAAAGCAGATCCTGGCTAAATCAAGCTTGTTTGCCAGTTCTATTGCAATTAAAATGCAACGGTCCTGAGGCCAAACATATCCCAATAATGATGTGGGATCTTTCAGTTATGAAAGCCTGGATTTGTCTGTCTCTTCTGTAATGTTTTGTGCTCACATGAAGAGCCGCCCTTTCCAGACGAGAGGAAGGGAAGCGGGGTCGTTAGTGATCAATATTTTATTTTAGATCACCGCTGGGCACCAGAGGGCACGTTGCCAGTCTGGTGTGGAGAAATTCAATACACAGCCTGGCCTCCTGTGTCTGCAATGCATGCCAGCTGGGAGTGCTCCACGCAGGTCTGCATCCCTCACTCGTTATTTCACAGACATTAACACTGCTGAAAGCTCCCCAAAGGCCTGTTTCCTTGTCTCCAAAATCAGGATCACAGACAGTATTCGCTCTACTCTTTTTAAGCACAACATCAATGCATTTTGGCTCTCCCCTCTATCATGACTGTGCATTTGAAAAACAGAAAAAAGAGCCATTGCTGCTGTTACTTCTCTGTGCTACATAACCTACAACAAAGGGACAGCAAAACAAAGATAAAGAGAGAAAAGAGCCTGGGAAGGAAGAGTAAGGCATCACAAACATGAAACTGTGTTCAAAGAGGAGCTTCTCCTATCAAAGGCGACCTTGCAAAACAACTTTGTAGTGCTTCGGGTTGGTTTTGTTTGGGTTTTTTTAATGAGTTCAGATCAAACCTACCCCGTTCACAAGTAAAATCATCCTCTCTTCCCATAAGTGCTGCCCTTAAAACTACTTGGATTCGGGAAGTCAAACAGGATTTTACTTATTGCTGACAAAATAGATTAATTAAGGATTTTCAAAGTAGCCTAATTCTTCTTGATAGGCAATTGAATTTGCATACTTAGCTCCCCTGGGCTCTTTTTAGACATTTCAGTCCAAGTCTTTTGCAAGTAACTGGAGGTTTGGATCAGCGAGCTATAGGTATGTTAGAAAAC